TGCTCCCGGCCGCCACCAGCGCCAGCTCCGCCGCGGTTTGCCCTGGTGCGCTCAAAGTCCTGCCCGGTGCCCCCCCCCGTCGCTCGGTCGCCCCTCACCGCCGCCCCAGCGCCCCGTTTTCCCACCGCTGCCTGCCCAGTGGCCGCCCGGTCCAGGGAGGCTAGTCGTGCCTTGGACGGCGTGAGCAATCGGGGCCCGCGGTCGGGGGAAATCTTTTATGAGACCAACAAGATTTTTGCAAAAAAAAAAAAGACTTTATTGGCAAGGTTTCGGGCACAAGCACCCTTCATCGGGCGTGGGAGAAAAGGTCGTAAAAGTGGTCCTGGGGAGAAAGGCCAGTCCATATTTCACTGGCTTTCACGGACGGCAAGCCGCTCTGGGCAGGCAGGTCAAGCTGGTACGGAGTCCGCAGGGGATGGTGTGGTTTGACGGGTCGAGCCCCTGATCCCAAAAGGCGCCAGTTAGGCCCCCTCAGCACGCTCGTTTTAAGCCTGTGCCCTCGCTCCCATCCCCGATATGTCTCGAGTTGTCCCCAGAAATCAGTTGTTGCTCGTGGCCTCCCTTGCTGAGAGAGGCTTATAGTGTTTCCTTGAGGGCACAGTCCCACATCCCCAAGGCAGCGAAAGGTCTGCCACGCGGCACTGCCCGTGTGCTCCGCTCAGCATCCGCCCTTGTTGTTGGCCTTCGCTCCTGTCCCTCTTATGTTCTCAGTTGTCCCCAAAAATGCGTTGCTGCCTTTCCAGTAGTCCGCGTGGTGGGCACTGCCCCGCGATTCTTCTAAGGCAACAAAAAGGCCTGTCACCGGTTCACTGCCCACTGGCACCGTGGACTCGTTTGAGGGCCAACGCGCGCTGCTCAATGTCCCCCCTCAGGGCACTCGTTTGGACCTCGCTCCCATCCCTGTTTTCTCCTGAGTTGTCTCCCCCAATCAATTGACGTCTAGGAAGCTCGGATTCAGAGGTTGTGCCCCTCACACCCAGGCTCGATAGCAATGGATGCCCCCTTTCCTTCGAGAACATGCCCGGCCCCTTCTTGAATCTGGCCAAGCTCGGCAGCTTCCACCACATCCGGCGGCAACGATTCCCGTGCTGCACTGGCGCTGCGTGATGAAGAAGGGCCTTTTGTTTGCATTAAACTGACTACCGACTCCTGTCATGTTGCTGCCCCTGGTTTGTGTCTTGGCAGAGGGAGTTAAGAAGAAATCCCTACTGGCTTTCTCTTCCCCATTTAGTGTTTTGTCAACCCTTGTCATGTCCCCGCTCCAGCATCTCTTTTCTAAACTGAGCAGACCTGGCCTCTTTGGCCACTCCTCGTATGGAAGCTCCTCCATATCACTGAGCATCCTTGTTGCCCTTCTCTGGCTTTTCTATCTCCTTCTGGACATGTAAAACAAGGGGATGTATTCAAGCTGTGGACGCACTGTGGGTTTCTAAAGGGGTCTCCCAATCCTCTCCGTTTTCTTCACAATTCCCATCTTAATGGTAATGAAGGTATACATGGCAGGGAGCTAAGAAACACAGTGTCCCCATCCCTGGCTTGGTCAGGAAGGTTTTGGCTACAGCAAAACAGCTTGACATCCCAGTGCTGGGCTTCCCCAAGCGCAAGGAGCTGCCGCAATGATGCTGTGGGCTCTGCTTCCTCAAGCAGTGTGGACGAGGCAGTGGCTGGGAGGGTTTAGGAATGGGGAACCCTGCGCAGGACGGGGTTGGATTAGATCGGGTGGCCAACCTTCACCAGGGAGAGAGGGAAGGGAGCAGAAAACAGAGCAGTGAGCAGGCCGGGGAACACTGGGAAGGAAGCAAAAAGCAAGTGGGGCAGGGAGCACTGGGGGAGGGAGCGGAAAGCAGAGCAGCAGAGCAGGCAAGGGAAGGGGATCAAGAGGCACTTGCGGGGTGGGGGTGATGCAAGGCTAATGTGTGCCCCACCTGCCAAAACGGTGGGTCCTCACTGAACCAGATGATCCTTGAGGTCCCTTCCAGCCCCGTGCTTGCAGTTTATATGGCATCAGAAGGGAATTACACTTGGCCGAGCTTGTCACTACACGGTAAGCAACAGGCCGCTAGCTATCCCACACTCACTCGACCTCCTCCTCCCGCCACCTGCTGTGGACACCATCTGCTTGAGAGAGCATAAGGCAGCTTGTCATGCCAGGCATGCACGTGGGGCATTGATACGGAGTGCCCCCGGTGCCGCGTATTCACACAACACGGCCGTGCTCTAGCTCACACCGGGAGAACTTCCCCAGCTGACGAGCCCTGAAGAGGCCCTCGTCCGTCGGAAGAACGCTCTCATGAGTTTATCCTGGTAGAACTATCTATGCCAATACCAGAAATCCAGCGTAGCCGGGAACACCTCCCATAGATAAGCCCTAAGGCAGTGGTTCTTGACCTTTTTAGGCTCAAGGCACCCCTCAAAATATGCCAGTTCCTGGCTTTCAATTGATTCTTGACTATGGAAAAGTCATAAAGCAATTCTTTTGTTGCGAAGGTCACAACAGGTCAGAACGCTTTTAACCCTGTGGACGTCTACTTGAAATCTCGGGGTTTATCTTGGGAGTCGTGGAGGTGTTTGCACACTTAATGGTGCTAATATTGCGCGGCACCCTTACAAGGGGCTCACGGCACCTCAGGGTGCCCTGGCACTGGGTTGAATATCCCTGCCCTATGCCGTCTGTCTCCGCAGCCTGATTCTCACTTCCTTTCGGGGAGCCTAGTGCCACCGGCAGCGCTGAACCCTTCTGGTCTTTGCCTTCGCTGCACACGCGGCCCGGGCCTGGCACTGAATCTGTTGTGGCAACAGGGAGGGGTTCTCTTACTAGTCCTCGCCCTTCTGCTCTGTCCCTTACTCAGAAGTATGTAGGCCAGTGCGTAACCACAGTGCTGTGGCACCCGCAGGTGCCTTGAGATCATTTCAGGGGTGCCGCACAGCGAAGCGTGCAAGCAGGATAAACAAGATAAACCCCGAGATTTCAGATAGGAATCCACATGGTTCAAAACCTTATGACCTGCTGCAGTCTTCCCGAATGCTTTGCCACCGAAGATTTGCTCTAGTATTTTCCTGTAGTCGAAACTCGGGTGAAAACCAGGAGCCGACATTTTCTGTGGTTGGCCTCAAGTTTATTGAGGGGTGCTTTGAAAATACAAAGGTTAAGACCCATTAGTGCAGGCAAAGTTACAAGCCTCTTGCTGGCTGCGGTGTGCCCTGGTTTTCTGCGCTGTGCACAAAGATCCCTCCCGGTCGCAGAACCAGAGGATGCAGGAGACAAGTGGACGCCTGGGGCCGTTCAGTCTGATGCCTACCTCCGTGAGTTTGCGCATGGCCTCCTGCCCGCTGACATCTTAAAATCCTTCTTGAGAAGCGATTTGCAACAATGGTCTTTGAAGAACGAGCCCCGCTCCATCAATGGCACGTTTTGGTGCCTGGTAGCTTTTATGGCCAAACACGCCTAAAATAAGCATACAGTGATGTCTTTGGGAAATGCCGTCTCCAAGTGAAAGGGTGGGCGAGGGGGAAGAGCAATGAAAATGGCAGCCCTTTCAACAACGGTGCCAACCAGCCCACAGGAACCAGGATGAAAGCTCCAAGGAGGCGTCACTTCAAAGTCCCTTCCAGTCGGCGAGCCAAGACAGCCGGAATGAAGCAAGCTTTATCCAGCGTGCAAACTCATTACCGCCTGGAATTGGCCATTAGGTTTCAATGGGCATGTGGCAGGAAAGAAAGAGGGCAGATGCTGAAGGAAAAGACATGAAAAGAAATGTTAGTGGCACAAAAAAAAAAAAAAAAAAAAAAAAAAAAAAACCCCC